CGGCTGCGCGAGCTGCCCGCCGGCCGGCTGGACCTGGCCACGCACAGCCTGACGCTGGACACCTGCCGGGCGCTGGGCAGCCTGCTGCAGAGCGAGGCGCTCCTCACGGAGCTCGTGCTGAGCGACTGCGTGCTGAGCGAGGAAGGTGGGAGGCGCGGCCGCCCGCTGGCCCCGTGGCACAGGCCCCTTCCCAGGCCCGGCAGTGGGGGGCCGTCCACCCTTCAGCCGCGGGGTCCGAGGGCCCCTGACTCAGGGCAGCGCCAGCCCCAGGCGGCTGGCCTGCAGTGCCCCCTCCTCCCCCAGGGGCCACCCTGCTGCTCCAGGGGCTGTGTGCCAACTCCGTTGTGCGGTGTCTGGACCTGAAGGTGAGCGCCGCTGCCCAGGCCTGGCCAGCAGCCCTGGTCGGCCAGAGGGGGCCCGAGGCGCTCCCTGCTTCCCTGGCCAAGCCTCAGGCCTCTGGGGCTCCCCCTCACCCTGATGCAGATGAGGGGGTGGGGAGCCCCCTACGCAGGACCTGAGTGCTGACCTGATCCTCCCGCGGGCGACGGGCCCACAGGCCCTGGGAGTCGGGGTCCCCATGCCAGAGAGCCGCTCCTCCCAGGCCAGGCCCTTTGGGGTGACCCCAGGTGCTTCCTGCCCTAGGGCAACAACCTGCGGGCAGCGGGGGCCGCGGCCCTGGCCGGGCTCCTCCGGCAGAACAAGTCCATTGAGAGGTGAGGCCGCCCCTTCCTCTGCCCGGCTGGCCTGGGCGGCAGGTTGGGGCGCGCGGCCCCTCACGCCCCGCCCCGCAGACTCACCCTGGAGTGGAACAGCCTGGGCGTGTGCGAGGACGCCTTCGCCTCCTTCTGCGCGGCCCTGACGGCCAACGGCGCCCTGCGGCAGCTGGACCTCCGCAGCAACCAGATCAGCCCCGCGGGCGCGGCCGAGCTGGCCCTGGCGCTGCCCCGGAACACCAGCCTGCAGCAGCTGGGTAGGCCACCGCGGGGGGGGCCCGCGGGCCCCCCCGGCCCGCCTGACTGCCGCCCCTCTCAGACCTGCGCTGGAACAACATCGGCCTCCTGGGGGGCCGCGCCCTGGTGAACTGTCTCCCGGGGAACAAGACCCTGAGGACGCTGGAGCTGGCTGGGAACAGCATCCCCGGAGATGTCCTCAGAGCCGTGGGTACGAGGCGCGGGCTGCCGGCCACCACAGCAGGGCGCAGGCCCGTGCCCCGGCGGGGGCACTGCCTCCGGGGAGGGGTGCGGAAC